AGGGGTGCATATATCTTTGCAAATTAATGTTTGTGCTTTCTTTGGGTAGATACCCAGTAGTGGAAGTGCTAGATCATATGGTAATCCTATTTTTAACTTTTTTGAGGAATCTCCATACTGTGGCTACACAAGGCTGCATTCCCACCAACAGTGTACAAAGATTTCTTTTTCTCCACATCCAACACTTGTTGTTTATTGTGTTTTGGATTTTTAGCCATTCTGAGAGGTATGAGGTGATATCGCATTGTGGTTTTTAATTTGTTGATGATTAGTGATGCTGCATATCTTTTCATATATCTGTTGGTCATCTGTAAGTCTTCTTTGGAGAAATGTCTGTTCATGTCTTCTGCCCATTTTTAATTGGATTATGCAAAATGTATTTTATTTTAAAGAACATACTTCACTGATACCATTTCATTTCATGTTGCCAAAAGTGTTCATTTTATTTAAACCCAGATAAAGAAACAATTTGTAGAGGGGCGCCTGGGTGGCTCAGTGGGTTAAAGCCTCTGCCTTTGGCTCAGGTCATGATCCCAGGGTCCTGGGATCGAGCCCCATATTGGACTCTCTGCTCAGCAGGGAACCTGCTTTCCTCTCTCTCTCTGCCTACTTGTGATCTCTGTCTGTCAAATAAATAAATAAAGCTTAAAAAAAAAAAGAAACAATTTGTAGAGCAGAATAAAAATTGCCATATCATTACAACTTTAAAATCTCTATTTTTAAATTACTGACATTTACTCTGTGTTGATATGTGCATACATATTTTTATTTAGTTCAGTCATTTTGACAGTTCTGTTTTTCTTTAATTTAATGTCTTAGTTTCCTAAGACATTATAATTATTTTACTACTTTTCCATTATTTATTCCCATTGTTTTGTGATCATTTCTTGGATAATTTTCTTATTATTGGACATTTGATTTTTCTTTCATTTTTTTCTTTCGAAGTAATATGTACTTCTATAGGCATTTAAATTTTTCAAGCATATAAGTTTTTCCTTTATTGAATTAGTGACTTATGATAAATTTCCAAATAGTATTTACACAAATATTATTTACTCTGGATAAATGATTATATCATTTCACAAGAGGATATTAACTATAAACAATACATGAGTATACAGTTTCCAACATCCTTGCCACAAATGAACACCAACCTAAAAATGATAAAAATACTTTGTTAATTATTACAAAGGAAATTATAACATCCTCATTCTATTTTTATTTCTACTTATTGCTTTTATTAATAAATGCTTTTCCCCAAGCTTGTTTATTATTTGTCATTCCCCATTTATAAATTATCCTCTCAGTATTACTGGGGGGTTGGGGTTCGTTTCTTCCCCTTAGAATTTAGCAGTAATAATCAGCAATAAAAATAAACAATGGTATTTTTAAATGGATTCTACATATTCAAATATCTCCTCATCTTGCGATAAACTTTTTTAGTGTCTCAAAGTTAAATAACCTTCAACACAAACTTAAAAAGTAGGCAGGTGACTTTGTTTCTCACTAAGTGAAGCAGCTGGATGGTATTTGAGAATTGTGTTCATAAAATAAGTGTACTAATGCTGAAGATACGAACATGGGTTAGGTTTTGAAGAGGGACACAGATGACAGGTAAAGATCTACCGTCTGTGAACACTCAATAATTTTCAAACTGATGCATTACCATTTTAGTATCATTCTTACAACCTCTAGTAAGAAAAGGGACAGCACTGAATTCATAAGGAAGTATAAGCGATTCAGCAGTAGGAAGCTGATTTCAGCAAATATGTTTTGAGAAAAGCAATTTGCAGAAATGCACTGAGCCTGATTAGGTAAGAAATATTCCACAGTGGAGTTACAAATAGGACCCTAAACCCAGTTACATCGAGCCAGACCCTAAAGCACTGTATTTTCTCACTTGTAAAGTTAGGAATTCAGGCTAAATTGTTTTCAGACTTTTTGGTCTCAGGATCTCTCTACATTCTTAAAAACTAGAGGAAGTCCCAAAGGGCATTTGTTCATTTGATTTATATCTAACAACATTTACCTTATTAGAAATTAAAACTGAGAAACCTTTTAAAATTCTATTATTAATCCATTTTAAATAATCTTATATGTTAAAATAATTACCTATTTTATCAAGAACATGAAATATAATGAGAACAGTGGCATTGTTTTTACATTTCGCAAATCTCTTTAATATCTTCACAGAAGGCAGCTGGATTCTCACATCTACTTCTACATACAATCTGTCACAAAAGTTGTTCTGCTTAAATATATTAAGAAAATCCAGCTCTGGGACGCCTGGGTGGCTCAGTTGGTTAAGTGGCTGCCTTCGGCTCAGGTCATGATCCCAGCGTCCTGGGATCGAGTCCCACATTGGGCTCCTTGCTCGGCAGGGAGCCTGCTTCTCCCTCTGCCTCTGCTGCCACTCTGCCTGCCTGTGCTTTCTCTCTCTCTCTCTCTCTGGCAAATAAATAAATAAAATCTTAAAAAAAAAAAAAAAAAAGAAAATCCAGCTCTATACAGATAGGTACTTGAAAAAGGATGAGACACTTCATCATCCTTTCTGATTATTGTGGACATGCTTCTTAAATAGTACACCAAAACTCATTATGTGGTAGTTTCTTTAAACATTTACTACAGTATAGAATCTGAAATCATATCAATGAACTTTTCATATTCTATTATACTAACATGTTTTACCCATGATTTTTTTTAAGATTTCTTTTTTTTTTTTTTTTTAGTAATCTCTATGCCTAATGTGGGGCTCAAACTTACAATCCCAAGATCAAGAGTTGCATGTTCCACCCACTGAGCCAGCTAAGTGCCCCATCATGGCTTCTTTTTCACCAGGTAGAATTTTGTAACATTATGCAATAATCATTTAGGAAAAAAAAAAAAAAAATACTGCTTCATGGACCCTGAGAGGTCCATGGATCATTTTAAGCATTGATGGCCAGCCTAGAATAATAACTGAAAGCTATTTCCAATTCTAAAAAAATTTTTGGTTTAATGAATCTGATCATTGAGTTTTACTAGTTTAGGTACATGGGCCCAAGTTCAGTCTTTATCCATTGAATATTCATAAACATTTTAAAAACATGCAAAAAACAATCATACCTTCATGGACATTTACCTTGTTTCTGATTGCTACTGCTTCTAAGTAGAACAAGTCTTGAGCTTATTGCAAATTCACATTATTTAAATTTTATTACAGTTATAAAAGGTGAGGGATGACGTACAATAGTAACAGTCCCTAAGATATCAGCTAATAACTTGTGAACAAATTGTTTATTAGAACATAATTCTTCCTTAAATTTGCTAAGGTTGTAAAGTCTCAGCAATAATGAATTACTCAGGGAATGGAACTAATAACCTTTGAGTGTTTGTAAGAATATATATTCTACATTATAAATCCTTTCCTCCATAATTAGGCCAATTACAGAGACACCAGACTCGTTGGCATTCACATTGGATACCTGCCTTAGTTGCATTTACTAGTGAGTGCTCTGGAGCACTGAAATGAATGATTAATAATATTCAGTTGCTCTGAAAACATCATTAATATTTTATAACAATTGTTGTCCAAGGACATTACAGAATGAAAATGCATAAGTAACTGAGACAACAACCAGAATTAAAAAATGTGTGCTACGGATTATTATAAACTTTTAAATTTTTTACCACTGATGAACTAAACGAGAAAAGAAGGAAAGGAAATGTATATTCTAAGGGAACATGGTCAGGAATCCGAATCAGGAATCCCAGGGCATCTTTGTTGCTACCGGGGAAAAAATGTAAGATTATTAACCTTTCTCACAAGGATCACCAAGAACTTTGCTCTCAATTTGGCACTGCACACTCAAACCAAAAGAACATACTGAAGATGAATAATTTCCAGTTCTTGACTTGAGTGTCTACAACTAGGCTAATATATATTGTGTGCAGACTAAGAGATTTTAGGTTGATTTAAAGAGAAGTTTAAATCTGTTCATCTTCAGAACAAGTAGGTGAAATTCCTCAAGAATAAAGAACATCCAAGAGAGACTCTGTCAGGACAATGGAGAAGGAATTCTCACTTAGTGGCGAACTCAAAGGGTACGGCTGCTCTAAGTGTATGATGTGAAACGCCTATATGAAGTAATTTAAGGTGGCCCTCAGAACAATGGCTCAAAAACACATTATATTGTATAGTCAGAGACTTACTTTCTTTTCTATTCACTTTCAGATCAAGTACTTCAGAAGAAAAGTTTCAGTTCAGAATTAGCAAGCCTCTTCATGTTTATTCAACTTGTTGAGCTCAAGTCTAATTGTCTAGAGCTCAGATGATAGCAAAGGTCATTTCCAAGGCTAAGAATCAAATAAACAAGCACTGCCTCTTGTATTATAAATCTCCAAATTACATATGGAAAAGACAGGAGGAGGGCGTGTGGGTGGCATCTGTCTTAGGCTTAGGTCATATCTGAGGGTCCTGGGATGAAGCCCACATTTGGGTTCCCTGATTCTCCCTCTCCCTCCCTGCTCCTCCCCCTGCTGGTGCGCTCTCTCTCTCTGTCAAATAAATAAATAAAATCTCTAAAAAAAAACCAAAAAAAACCAGGAGGGATAATACAGGAAACATATGGGTAAAGATATCTAAATAACCTCTCAAGGGTCATTTATATTCCCTGTCCTAATAACACAAGGGGAATTCCCCAAATCTCTGTTACACAGCTGATAAAGTATTACATAAACTGATTGTAAATGTATTATTTTTATTATTTTATGTATTTCAAGATATATATTTCCATAAAACCAATGACTAACCTCTCGTTATGAATTCATAGTATATAATGTCTAGATTTTCAGAGTTTTTATCATCTTATATTTTTAGTTGTATAATAATGGCTCTTCAATATTTTCTTAATTCTTTGTTTTCATTCTTAAATATACAACCATTTTGAAAAAAGATACAAAATGTATTCCCTTCCTTTTTATCATAATTGGTTGAATACCACTAATTACTGAATCATAACACTCCCTAAAATAAATTAACGGAGTATATAAATAACAGCCATTGGTAATACTGAAGAGTATCTTACGTGGCAAAACACCTGATCTATAAGTCATGTTTCTTGTTGTGTGCCACGTTTGCATAAGAAGAGCCAAAAAGCCTAAGCTGTAAAATAATTATAGCAAGCAACCAAAGACAAGACAGTCAATTTTTTAAAAAGGGAATGATGAATTCTGATGACAGATTGCTGGAAAATAAATAGAAACATAGTAGAAAAATCACATCTTCAAACTACAAGTATTCTACTTAAAAATGAAAATGCAAGTAAGAAATTCCATGAAGTAGGTATTGAATGCTGTCATTTTACCTGACAGTGGTATATCCATGGCTGTAGAGAATTTCAACAGGAGACAAATTAGAGATACAATTAATCCTCTTCCTCCTAACAGCATCTCCATTGCTCTTCAGGACGGAGGCAACTCAGGAAGAATGAAAATCGTAATGTTTCCTTTTACTTTTGGTTTAAGGCTGAGAAGAATGTAGTTCACCTGGGAATTCAAAAAACAAACAAAATGACATATATTTTAAGTTCATATACTCTGAAATGACCCCTTAATTTTTTTTTACAGATTTTATTTATTTGAGAGAGAGCACAAGCAGAGGTGGTGGTTGGGGGGATAACTGGGGGGGGGGTGTAGGCAAATGGCAGAAGCAGGCTCCCCACTGAGCAGGGAGCAAGATGAGGGCTCCATCCCAGGACCCTGAAATCATGACCTGAGCTGAAGGCAGATGCTTAACCTACTGAGCCACCCAGGCACCCCTGACAATAAAATTCAAACAAATGTTTCTGCTACAATAATTTTCCTCTTGATGAAACACTTTACTAATAACTCCACATAAATATTATTATTATTTCTATATGCTTTATTAAAGGACAGGTGATATATGCTACAGTGTAAACAATGATCCATTCCAGTGAGCTATATTTTTTGGCCAGATGTATTTTTGCATCAAGGCACTCTAGTACATTCTATCAGGGGTGGGTGTCAGTGTTATGAGAACAACTTCATTTACCCCATTTTGTTCAAAATGTAGCTCTTTTTCAAACAATTCTTTGGATCGGGCAACTAACCCCACTTGAGTCATTTATGAAGCATCACAAATCTAACTGTTGATTTTATTTTTAAAGAGTTTACTTATTTATTTGACAGATCACAAGTAGGCAGAGAGGCAGGCAGAAAGGGGGTGGGGGAAGCAGGCTCCCTGGTAAGCAGAGAACCCCGATGCGGGGGCTCGATCCCAGAATCCTGAGATCCTGACCTGAGCCAAAGGTAAAGGCTTAACCCACTGAGCCACTCAGGCACCCCTAACTGTTGATTTTTTTGACAAAATAACTTTTCATGTTCAAGGTTATGACACTAATAGAAAGTGAACAGCAAGATACAGGAGTGAGACATGAAAGACAAAGGGATAAGGATCAACCACTCTAACATTTATAAATTTGGGTTTTGTTGAAGCAGAAAATAATTATCCTCAGTTACTTTACACTTAAGCAGAATTTTTATTCACTCCATATTGTGGAGAAATAAAAAATAAAATGTCAATTTTCCTTAATGTTCTCAGATCATTTCAATTTTATTATGAAATACTATGATAATAGACATCTAAACATTGTTTATAACATATATTTAAAATAAATTTGCTCAAAATGTGAGTTTTTCAGGTGCCCAATTTTCTTTTTCCATAAAAATCAATTACTCTATTCAATTACAACTGGTACAAAAAAATTAATGAATATAGAGTCAGATAACCCATCAACTTTATACATTTTTTAATTTAAATTCAATTAATTAACATATAATGTATTACTGGTTTCAGAGGTAGAGGTCAGTTATTTATAAGTCTTATACAATACCCAGTGCTCATTACATCATGTGCCCTCCTTAATGTCCATCACCCAGTTACAGCATTCCCCCACCCCACACCCTCCAGTAACCTTCAGTTTGTTTTCTATGATTAAGAGTATCTTTGTCTCCCTCTCTGATTTCATGTTTTTCCTCTTTTCCCCTATGATCCTGTTTTGTTTCTTAAATTCCACATATCAGTGAGATCATATGATTATTATCTTTCTCTGACTGACTTATTGCACTTAGCATAACACCTTCTATTTCCAGCCCTGTTGTTGCAAATGGCAAGATTTAATTTTTTGATGACTGAGTAATGTTCCATTGTGTATAGTTACCATATATTCTTTATCCATTCAGCTTTCAGTGGACATCTGGACTCTTTCCATAATTCAGCTATTGTGGACATTGCTGCTATAAACATTGGGGTACAAGTGCCCCTTCAGATGAATTCTTCAGGTGAATAGTACATTTGTATCTCTAGGGCAAATACCCAGTAGTGCAGTTTCTGGGTCATAGGGTAGCTCTATTTTCAATTTTTTTAAGAAACTCCATACTGTTTTCCAGAGCGGCTGCACCAGCTTGCATTCCCACCAACAGTGTAAGAGGGTCCCCCTTCATTGCATCCTCGTCAACATCTGTTGTTTCCTGTCTTGTTAATTTTAGCCATTCTGACTGGTGTGAGGTGGTATCTCATTGTGGTTTTGATTTGTATTTCCCTGATGGTGAGTTATAAGGAGCATTTTTTCATGTTTCTGTTGGCCATTTGGATGTCTTCTTTGGAGAAATGTCTGTTCATGACTTCTGCCCATTTCTTGATTGGATTATTTGCTCTTTGGGTGTTGAGTTTGATAAGTTCTTTATAGATTTTGGATACTAGCCTTTTAACTGATAAGACATTTACAAATACCTTCTCCCATTCTGTCAGTTTTCTTTTGGTTTTGTCAACTGTTTCTTTTGCTGTGCAATAGCATTTTATCGTGCTAAAGTCCCAAAAGTTCCTTTTTTGCTTTTCTTTTCCCCTTGCCTTTGGAGATGTGTCTAGTTAGAATGCTGCGGCTGCCACAAAGGTTGCTGCCTCTGTTCTCCTCAAGGATTTTAATGGATTCCTGTCTCACATTTAGGTCTGTCATCCATTTTGAGTCTGTTTTTGTGTATGATGTAAGGAAATGGTCCAGTTTCATTCTTTTGCATGTGGCTGTCCAATTTTCCAAACACCATTTGTTGAAGAGACTTTTTCCATTGGACATTCTTTCCTGCTTTGTCAAAGATTAGTTGACCCCAGAGTTGAGGGTCCATTTCTGGACTTGGTATTCTGTTTCATTGATCTATGTATCTGTTTTTGTGCTAGTACCATACCATCTTGATAATTCCAGCTTTGTAATAGAGTTTGAAGTCCAAAATTGTGATGCCACCAGCTTTGGCTTTCTTTTTCAGCATTCCTTTGGCTATTCAAGGTATTTTCTCATTTCATACAATTTTTATGATTATTTGCTACCATTCTGTGAAAAAAATCGATGGTATTTTGATACAGATTGCACTGAATGTGTATATTACTCTAGGTAGCATAGACATTTTCACAATATTTGTTCTTCCAATCCATGAGCATGGGATGTTTTTCCATTTCTCTGTGTGATACCAAATTTCTCTCATGAATAGTCTATAGTTTTCTGAGTACAGATCTTTTGCCTCTTCAGTTAATTTTATTCCTAGGTATCTTATGGTTTTGGTGCAATTATAAATGGGATTGACTCCTCAATTTCTCTTTCTTCTGTTTCTTCATTAGTGTATAGAAATGCAACTGATTTCTGTGCATTGACTTTATATCTTGCTACTCTGCTGAATTCCCATATAGGTTCTAGCAATTTTTGGGTGGAGTCTTTGGGTTTTCCACACAGGGTTTCATGTCATCTGCAAAAAGAGTTTGGCTTCTTCTTTGCCAATTCGGACGTCTTTTATTTATTTATTTTTGTTTTTGTTTTTGTTTTCAGATCACTGAGGCTATGATTTCTAGTACTAAGTTGAACAGCAGTGGTGATAGTGGACATGCCTACTGTGTTCTGGCCTTGGAGGAGAAGCTCTCAGTTTGTACCCATTGAGAATGATATTCTCTGTGAGTTTTTCATATAAGGCTTTTATGATATTGAGGTATGTTCCCTCTATCCTTAAACTGGGAGGAGTTTTAATCAAGAAAGGATGCTGTACTTTGTCAAATACATTTTCTGCATCGATTGAGAGGATCAGAGAGTCTTACTTATCCTTTCTTTTATTTCTGTCATGTATCACATTGATGGATTTGGATCCATCCTTGCAGCTCAGGAACAAATCCCACTTGGTCATGGCAGATAATTCTCTTAATGTACTGTTTTGATACTATCGGTTAGTGTTTTGGTGAGAATTTTTGCATCCATGTCCATCAGGGACACTGGTCTGTAATTCACCTTTTGGGTGGGATGTTTGGTTTTGGGATCAAGGTAATGCTGGCTTCAGAGAAAGAGTCTGGAAGGTTTCCTTCCATTTCTATTTTGTGAAACAGCTTCAAAAGAACAGGTATTAATTCTTCTTTAAATGTTTGGTAGAAATCCTCTGGGAAGCTATCCAGCCCTAGACTCTGGTTTGTTGAGGATTTGTGATTTTTGCTTCAATTTCCTTGCTCTTTTTATGGGTCTGTTCAGGTTTTCTATTTCTTCCTGATTCAGTTTTGGTAGTTTCTATGTCTCTAGAAGTGCATCCATTTCTTCCAGACTGTGTAATTTGTTGGCATATATTTGCCTTGCTCATTCAGAATTTTATTTATTTGGGTCCTTTCTCTTTTCTTTTTGATAAGTCTGGCCAGGGGTTTATCAGTCTTATTAATTCTTTCAAAGAACCAGCTCCTAGTTTCATTGACCTGTTCTACTGTTTTTTTGTTTGTTTTTTGTTTGTTTGTTTGTTTGTTTCTATTTCATGGATTTCTGCTTTAATCTTTATTATTTCTCTTCTACTAGGTTTAGCCTTTTTTTTTTTTTTTTTTTTGCTATTCTTTCTCCAGCTCCTTTAGGTGTACGGTTAGATTGTGTATTTGAGGCCTTTCTTGTTTCTTGAAGAAGGCTTGTATTACTCTATACTTCCCTCTTAGGACCACCTTTATTGCATCCCAAAGGTTTTGTTTTCATTTTCACTTGTTTCCATGAATTTTTTTTAACTCTTTAATTTCCTGGTTGACCCATTCATTCTTTAGTAGGATTCTCTTTAGCCTCCATGTTTCTGAGTTCTTTTCAACTTTCCTCTTGTGATTGAGTTCAAGTTTCAAAGCATTGTGGTCTGAAAATATTCAGGGAATGATCCTAATCTTTTGGTACCCGTTGAGACCTGATTTGTGACTTAGGGTGTGATCTATTCTGGAGAATGTTCCATGTGCACTCAAGAAGAATGTGAATTCTGTTGCTTTATGATGGAATGTTCCAAATATATCTGTGAAGTCCATCTGGTCCAGTGTGTCATTCAAAGCCCTTGTTTCCTTGTTGATCTTCTGCTCAGATGATCTGTTTATTGCAGTGAGTGGGGTATTAAAGTCCCCTATTATTATTGTATTATTGATGTATTTCTTTAATTCTGTTATTAATTGGCTGCTGCCATGTTAGGGGCGTAAATATTTACAATTC